TAATGGTAATAGTAATAATAATGGTAATAGTAATAATAATAGCAATAATAATAATGGCAATAATAATAAAATGAGAGCAAAAATAAGACTAAATGATTACGATAAAAATAGGTTAAACAGTGTTGTCGTAATAAAGATTTCTGATTAGGTTTTCATTTCCATTTAAATTTTCGGCATTTTTATTGCAGGAAGGATGCAGACTTGGTAGCTACAATGAATAAATTAGATGGAGAACAATCGATGGTCAACAAGTTGCAAAAACAAATTAAGGATTTGGAAGGCCGGTAAATAATTAATTTGCATAATTAAACTTTGTATTAATGTTAGAATATATAAATGCTGAAAATTTTTGGAATATGAATAGTTGGAATTTTCTGCATGCATTTTATCTGATGAAAAAATCTAAATAAATTTTGTAAAAATTAGCTCATTTGTTTTGTTTCAGTATTGCTGAACTTGAAGAAGATTTGGAGCAAGAACGTCAATCACGTGGTAAATTAGATCGTGCAAAAGGAGATTTACAACGTGAATTGGATGAAATAACACAGCGTCTAGATGAGCAAGGTGGTGCTACTGCGGCGCAAATTGAACTAAATAAAAGACGTGAAGCCGAAATGGCCAAATTGAAAAGGGATTTGGAAGTATTCTTTTTAATTATTTATCTAAAATTTAAATTAATTCTAAATGAACTTATCTAAACGGATTCAACACTGGATAAGCAATGCCATTTACTGCTACCTTTAGGAAAACAATATGAATCATGAATTGCAAATCTCGACATTGCGCAAAAAGCACAATGACGCCGTTTCGGAGCTCAGTGATCAATTAGAGCAGATGCAGAAGATGAAAGCTAAATTAGATAAAGACAAAGCACAGATGCTTCGAGATCTGGAAGAAGCAAACTCAAATGCTGATGCTGAAAGTAGGCAGAAACAGGAATTCGAGAAACATTCCAAACTATTGGAAATGCAATTATCAGAGCTTCAAACAAAAGCTGATGAGCAGGTAATGAAAGTTAAAATTCTTTTAGTAATTTGCAAAAAAAAAGAAATCAAATATTCAAATTGCAATGCATATCACAGAAAGGGAATTTAGTCAACGAGAAGAATGATACGAACTATACTGAAGAAAAGATATTATTTTTCTCAAAGTGATTCTAAAAATTAGAAATGGTGAAAACGACCATTTTTGGAAACTATTGTAATAAAATATTACAATTTCAAAAAAATTTATAATACCAAAATATTTAATTTATCACGAACTCTCTTTAATTATTAAAAAAAAATTGCTCTTTTCTTTTTTATGGTTATTTACAGCTGTCCCTTTGCAAGACATTCCATCTACTACAGTTTTAAAATAATTTTTTGGCTAAAAAATTTTTTTCAGACTCGTCTAATTAATGATTTCACGGCGTTAAAGAACAGGCTATCGAATGAGAATGGTGATTTATCCCGACAATTAGAAGATCTCGAGAATCAGGTACTCTTATCCGGCTGTTTGACATGTTTTATTTCGAGTTAAATTTAACGAGTTATTTTTTGATAATAATTTAATCAGTTGCTAAAACCAAAAATATTACTTTTAACATTATTTCTCCTAACACTAAAAATAGAAAATTAACTTAAATTTCTGGTTCTTTTAGGTGAATGGACTTCATCGACTGAAAGGGCAGCTTTTAAGTCAATTAGAGGAAGCGAAACGCATAGCTGAGGAGGAATCAAGGTTACTTATATTTGACCTTTGTATAGTTGAATTATCAAATCCTCGAATTTCTTTTATAAGCTAAAATTTCATTTTTTTTTTTCCTACCTCTTTCGAACATTTTGCAACATTTTGTAACTGGAATTAAATATTTTTCAGAGAACGACAAAATCTAACGGCACAATTGAAAAATTTGGAGCATCAAAATGATAATCTTCGCATTCATGCTGATGAAGAATCTGAGGTTGTACAATACATCCTGTAATCCGTATTTTTTAATAATTTTTTTAGTTTACTCAATCATTTCTGACTTTCTGTCTTTATTTGTCTTATCTATTTTTAATTTAGGGTAAAGCGGAATGCCTGCGTCAAATGAGCAAATTGAACGCTGAAATCCAACAATGGAAAGCACGATTTGAGGGTGAAGGATTGGCAAAGATGGAAGAAATTGAAGAGGCTAAGTAAAAATTCTGACTCTAAATTGTATGAAATAATTTTTTACTTGGAAATTTTAATAACTTTCAATAACTGAACGGCGATATTCAATTAATACTTCCCGCGAAAACTTTTAAAATTCGAAATTCAGGCGTAAACTTATGGAAAAAGTGCAAGATCTTACGGATGTAAATGAAGCAGCAAATGCGAAAATTATGTCTTTGGAAAAGACGAGGCATAAATTGATGGGCGATTTGGATGATGCTCAGGTAATTTCTGTACTGATTTAATAAATTGATCATGCTAAACTAATTCATGAAATTTCTCATCTTTGGCAAATTATCATGTCTGTTATAAAACCCATACATGGCAATGTCCGGCTCCAGTCAAAAGCCGCGTTTCAGGAATAATCGAATAGCAATTTAGTATCACTATCTTCTACGGAAGTTATCAATAACGAGTGAGAGATATTAAAATCTTTGTTGAATACTCAAAATTTTAAAAATGAAACTCATTATTTCCTTGGAATAAAGCAAAATTCAGGTTGATGTTGAACGTACAGCGGCATATGCAGGAGCTTTAGAAAAAAAACAACGAGCATTTGATCGTATAGTCGAAGAATGGAAAAAGAAATGTGATGATTTATCAGCTGAATTAGAGAGTGCACAACGTGACAACCGCAATCTCTCTACTGAATTATTCAAAGCCAAGAGTGCCCAAGATGAATTGCTTGAAGTGAATAGTTTTATTCTTTAATTTAGATTTCAGATAATTAAATAATTTAGTGGAGAAAAAAAACAAATTTTAGTGAAACTAATAAATTACGTATTTTAAAAATAGATGTCAATTGTACCGTTTTAATGCAAATATAACGAGACAAAGTGAATTAAAAATTAAAATATTTGAATTATAGCAAGTCTGAAAATTTTGCAGCAAATAGAAAGCTTGCGCCGCGAAAACAAATCGTTATCATTAGAAATCAAAGATCTAACTGATCAACTTACCGAAGGTGGACGTTCAGTTCACGAACTGCAAAAAATGATGCGCCGTCTCGAAGTTGAAAAGGATGAATTGCAGAAAGCTTTGGATGATGCTGAATCTGCACTAGAAGCTGAAGAAGCTAAAGTTTTACGAGCACAAGTAACTTTTCTTACTAGAGAAAAAATATAACAGTTAGTTTCGACAGAATGGCGGCCAGTTTTGGATTCTGAAACTTTTGGGTAAAATTTCGATCAAAAGAAAGTATTTAATTAATACTTGCATGTGTTTAATTAATATTTATAGGTCGAAGTGTCACAAGTACGTGCTGAGATTGAGAAGAGAATTCAAGAGAAGGAAGAAGAATTCGAGAATACCCGTAAGAATCATCAGCGAGCTCTTGAAAGCATGCAAGCAACACTTGAAGCGGAAATGAAGGCTAAGCAAGAGGCATTGCGCATTAAAAAGAAACTTGAACAAGATATCAATGTAAGTTGCGTTGTTTTTTATGAAATGGAAATTGATTAAAGCATTCCAAATACATTTATAAAATGTTGAAAAGATGGATAGTAGCGTCAGTAGAGGGATGACAGATTTTAAATTAATCAAAATCTACTTAAATGCATTTCAATTAAATACATCGCGGTATTTCACATAATACTTTTGTTTTCAGGAACTTGAAGTAGCTCTTGATCATGCTAATAAGGCAAATGCAGATGCGCAGAAAACAATTAGACGGTATCAGGAACAGATTCGAGAATTGCAAATGCAAGTTGAAGATGAGCAAAGACAAAAAGATGATCTTGCGTAAGTGTTTTTTTCTAATTTCGTTGTTAAAATTATATTCAAATTCAAAATCGAAGTCTTCAGTGAACAAAAATAGTTTGATTTTCTGTTCTGTTTTATTATAACTTATTTTCAGAGAACAATTATCTAATGCACAGAAGAGGGCAGCTATTCTGCAAGCCGAAAAAGACGAACTTGCTAATCAAGCCGAAATGGTAGGTTATATTATTAGCGAATTTATGATCATGTTGTTCATGATCTTTGATTTTATTATTACAGGCTGAACGTGCTCGTCGATCAGCTGAACAGGATGCTATTGAATTACGTGAAACAGTGAATGATTTGACCAATCAGGTTAATGCAATTAACAATACGAAGAGAAAATTGGAGGCTGAGTTACAGAATGTCCACGTAAGTTTGCATTCCTCCATGTCTTCTCTATGGTCCCACATTAAAAATGAAAAATTTAAGTATAATTTAAATGCATATGAATTTTGATTTTTCTTTGCAAGAATTGTAAAGAGCAAAAACTTTTTTTGAAAGTATTTTGATCTGGAAGTGGTCATATTTTCTTAGTTCTAGTCTTCTTGGAAAATTATAAATTTCAGCTAGAATTAGATGACGTAACGTCTCAGCTTAAAAATACCGACGAAATGCTAAAGCAAGCATCCGCAGATGCAGCACGACTTGCAGAAGAGCTACGTCAAGAACAGGAGCATTCGGTGCATGTGGAAAGAATGCGTCGTGCACTCGAAGTACAAATCAAAGAGATGCAGGTTACATTTTGCTGCAAAATGTGAAGTTTAGGATAGCAGTATAGAATCTGTATGGTTTTTGAGGAAATAAAATTTTTAAATAAGTCGAAATATCTTTTTTTACTTTTCTGAAATAATTATTATTCAATTTTCAGGCGCGCTTGGATGAAGCGGAACAAGCAGCGTTGCGCAGCGGGCAAAAAATTATTGCCAAATTGGAGATGCGTATTCGAGAATTGGAGCAGGAGTTAGATGGTGAACAAAGACGAAGCTCAGATTATGAGAAAGAGTTGAAAAAGGATGATAGACGTATCAAAGAACTTCAATTCCAAGTAAGTATAGGTTGAAGATTTACATTTCCATTTGGATTGGATGAAATTTTACGAATTAATTATTTAAACGTTGCAGTGCGAAGAAGACAGGAAAAACAATGATCGGCTAACGGAACTAGTGGATAAACTGCAAATCAAAATAAAAATTTATAAACGGCAGGTTGAAGAAGCGGTAAGTTTGAATCTTAAATCTTTCTTTCTTCTGCAAATGTAGATATGAAAGCTTGAATTTAAAGATTTTTTTGTACAAAAATTGAACAGGCAAAAAAATCAAGAAATTTAAAAATGATTAAACTCGACGTCATAAAAACAACATCAAAAATTCAAAGCAACCGAATAGACAACAAAACTGGAATGATTCATCGATTTACTTAGTATTTACAATACTTGAATTTCTGGTTCGTTCTAGGAAGAAGTAGCTGCAGTTAATCTAGGCAAATATCGCCAATTGCAAACACAACTTGATGATGCTAACGAACGAGCGGATATCGCGGAAAATTCTTTAGCAAAGCTTCGCTCAAAGAATCGAGCTTCAACGATTGCTCCATTAGCACTTAGTGCTAGTGCTAGCTTTATACGAGTACCGTCTCAGTCAGATTTCGCAGAGTGAGATAAAAAATGGTTCAACTCTAAAGCTATTAATTTGCCGATTTTCTTGCTTCCACTTACTTCCTTATTGTCTTTTTAAATTGTGTATAATTTGCATATTCAACTTCAAAGATATTTATCAGTTCGATAAGGAATTATTATTTTGTATGAATTATTAAATGGGCCATGGCAATATCGATGAATTCAAATTTTGTTTTTATTCCCTTTATGATCATCGTTTTTTCTGAAGAAGTCTCATTATGTAAATTTCGTGAATTAATTGTTATATGTTTTGCAATTTTTTATAAATTCTGAAATAATTTACCGAAAAAAAAATCACTTCTATATTATGCCATAAATTTTGAAACTTATATTCACATCACATTCGTAGAGATGCGATATCTTGATCATGAGTCAGTTGTTGGGGTGACTCAGATGTAGATTATGATGATACTGATTTCTTCGTCTCGTGCTTCCATGAGGTGCTATTTTGTACAAAGCATTTCATTTCATCAAAAAGTTATCTTTTTAACAACCATTTATTAACTTAGCTCATATATTGCCTACCATTGTTCTTCAATTGTTAGCATTTTTAGATTTTAAATATTTCAAAGATTTATTTTTGTCTCAAAAAGTGCTTGAAATTTATTCTTCCCCTAACATCAAATTTAATACAATTATTTTTATGACCACGATATGTTTCGATCTTAGCAGGTGAATTATCACAAAAACTAGAAACTTTAGCGCACGATTGGGCATTGAAAGCATTGAGGAAGCCTTCCTCATCCATTCATTATGCAAACTGTACTTGAGTATACTTGACATTTCACTGATGTCCTCAATGTCATCGTCTTCTTTTGCTTCCGCTTACATAATTATTGCACGCAAGCAAATTATGACATGTATATTTCCTCGTAATGAAAGTAAAATCGGCGACAGTGTTAGTATTTTTTCCAAATGTGTGATTTTTATCCATTGTGTGCTCCGTATCCTTCTAATTCCTTCAATTTGTTATAATTTATTTTTATTTTTGAAGAAAGTTATATACATACTATCAATAAAAATATTAAAAGAAACATCTATGATTTTATAAGATGACCTACATAAGGTCATATCAACTTAATTGTACTGATGGTCTTATAAGGAGTCATCTTACTTATAAAATCAATAAGATGGTCCCTTAGTGAGGTATGGACTTTAAAGTAGCCATTACGAGAGAGAAGCATTTAAAGGAATAGTTGAATGTTTTTTGGAAGACTCTATGCTGAACAAATAAAGCTAAAGCAGTCAGGGGTTAATTGCTTACTTTGTTTCTGCTCACAACCTCGTTTCTTTGTTATTTGCATTACTTTCTACATAGCACTATTTTTCCACATCTTAATTTCGATGATACAAAAAGAAATGTGATCAGTACGTCCAGAAAGGAATTGACATGGAGCATATTTAAAATTTTATATGCATTATGACAATTGTAGGAAAAGTGATTGCTATTGTTCCCCATGTTTATGAAAATCTCGATATTTTGGAACTTCGTCGCATTTTTAGCTTAAAAAGAGATATGGAAGTCGCATCAGTTTCCTATAAAATTACATTTTTGATAGGATTCTGTTCTTTCTTGCAATGCTAGATAAATGCTGAGGCTTCATATTTTTTAAATATAATTGATCTTCGTAGAAGATTTAAAAATTTGAAAATATTCAATTGAATCATTGCTTTTTTGTTACCTTATCTTCTTATTCGTCAACTTTATCCAAATAAGGTCAAGATGAGCATCGATATCGATTTTCTTTGAGATTTGTTTTCCGCCATGAAATTCAGAAATTCTGATTTGTTATACTTTCATCCGTTGAAATCAGAATAAAAATACAACTTATTATAACCATGCCATCCGAACATATATTTTTGCATCACAAAAGTACGAATATCAGATGATCCTTCTGAACCAATTATCGTAATTAATAGAAATCGAATGTTACGAAATCTCTTTTCCTCCATACTTTTCCGAATTTTCACTATTTCTTCCATATATAAACATCATTGTCATGTCAAAAGTTCATGTCACCTGAAAACTTATCGCATTCATACATCATCGAAAAGCAATGTTCAATCTACGTTATCGTATTTCCGGCAAAATAATAATAAAACAAATTTTTGTAATCGACAACATTTATTAAAGCACTGAGTAATTGAATGCGTTGATGTTGAGGAATTATACTAAAAACGCTTAAAAAATTTATTCAACAATTGTCCATTTTTTATAAAAATGTGCCTTTTTTCTACACGTCCATTACCCTTTCTTTCGAGCAATGGACGTATGTGACGTACGACAAATTTCTTGTAGAAATGAGCTTTCACATAAATTTTTTGAAAATAATTTTGAATTTCTGAATTATATTTTCACTAAACGGACAGATTGTTCCACAAGAAATGGAATAAATCAGTCTAAATTTCAATAATTTCAAGTTATTTCAAATTTTTTTAATAACAGTGCTTCATCGTTTTCAGTGATGAAATTACATTTTCGGTTGATTTCATGCTATTCCGAGTTGGAAGAGTTTGGTGACAGTTCCAAATTGTGCTACCTGTTATAATTACATTTCCATAAAACTATTATTTTTCAATGTAACTAACAGAAATTTCGGGAAATAGGGGAGTCAAAATTATTATTCAAAAGGATTAGGGTTCTGTGACTTCGTTCGATCATAGATCATACGATATGTATAAAAATGATTCTCTCTGTCAATACTCCCTCCGTTAGGTTGGCTGTCTTCTACAAATTTCCATTCATGCATTTTAGAGAATATTTTTTAAAATTATTTTGCAAAGTTCCACATTTCATCGCTTTATATAAGCTCGATTATGCTTCTTTCGTATGCTTCGCAGTATTTGTGTTGGCGCCGTGTGAATAAGATATTGAAATTTTGTTATTTTTCTAATAATCATTAAATTCATAAAAGGATCATTTTGGATTATTTTAGAGATCAAATGGAGACGATCACCAATACAAGCACAATCGAGAGATGACGGTGAGATGACAGCTGCGGCTAATGACAACGAAGCAAACAAAAAAGATTCAAATGTAAAATATGCAATAAGCAATTTGAGTGTACGAAATAGCTGCGAAAACACAAAAGAAAACACACATTCGGGCGTGAGAGAATGCAAATGCGACATATGCAATAAATTATTCACACAAAGTGGAAATCTGCGAGTTCATCAGCGAAAACATAGCGAAGAAAGGAAAACGCGGTGAGCGATTCAAATATTCAAACAGTCTGAGGCCCATGAAGTTTAAGAAAATACAAATGTAATATATGCAATAAATCACTCGCACAGCGTGCAACTCCGTGAAAATCGTAAATTGACGCACAACGAAGGACAATTTA